GCTCTTTGGCCCCTTGAGTGTGGCTCTTCCACAAAATACCACGTGCGGGTGTGCATGTACCATGTGATCGAAACTTCGTGGCCCATGCGCAGAAGTCAGTATTTTGTGGAAGAGCCACACTCAAGGGGCCAAAGAGCCGCATGTGGCTCGCGACCCGCAGTTTGCCGACCACTGGCCTAGGAGGACAGCGAGAGGCGGGCCCTGGTGACATCATGAGGGCCTCTCCTGGTGTGAAGGCAGGGGGGAGGCTTCGACGGGTGGGCGGCTGGGATGGATGGATGGGCAGCCCCCGCATCCGAGGCCTCAGGGCAAGAATGGAAAGCAGCCCAGGGGCCACGCGGTTGCTGTGCAGGAGAAAGCAGGGGGTGGAGGCGTGGAGGCTGTGGAGGCCGCGTCACCTCCCTCTGCCCCCAGGTGTTTCCATGAGTGTCCACAGCCGGCCCCAAGCCAGGACGCCTGCGGCTCTGAAAACAGATCCCAGACTCTGGTCCCGCCACTCACTGCCTGCCTTCCCGCCTGGGGCCTTTGCCGTGTTTTCCTCCCTCCGTGCACACAACCAGCACTGGCTGAGAGCCTTTTGTGTACCGGGCACAGGAGCAAGTGATGACACAGAGGCGATCACACAGCCCCAGCTTTCAGCGTGGCAGAGCCGCGGGGGAAGCCAATGTACAGAGAGAACCTGAGGACACAGCCCCACGGGAGGGAAGTTTGCCAGGTGTGCAGACGGACTCAAAGGGTCCAGGCCGTCAGAGTCCGGAGACGCAGAGCTGGTTCCCTGCGCCCAGGCCTCTTGCCACACCTTGGCCGGCCCTTCCTCCCCGCTGAGTCCCCGACAGCTCGACAGTGGTCCCTTCGCGTCCCACCCACCTCCCCGCAGCCACGGAGACACCGACCTTCATGTTGCTGTGGGTCACCTCACCCCCCACGGCGCAAGGTTACCAGGGGAACGAGAGAAATGACAGTGATCAGCAAGGGAAACAATGACTGGGCTGGAGGAGTTGATAATTGCCAAGTGATTGAAATTTGCGGAGAGCTGGGACCACGGAGCCAGCTAATTGCTCTTCTTGACAAGGAGTGGGGAGAGGCACCCCGACCCGCCCCCGCGGCAGTCCTGCAGCTTGCCGTCCCGGAGGCTACGCACTGGCCAAGAAGACAGAAACCGAAATGCCCTGGCAGACCTCCAGGCAGCCTGGGCGAGGAGGAGCTGACTTGGCTGGGATGGACGCCTTCTGTCCTTCCTTCTGCCTCCTGCTGCCGCTTGGGAGGCGGAGGCGATGGCGGGAGCTCAGCAGCCCTCTCCGCCCCTGAGGTGACTGGCGGTGAAAGCCTGGACGGAGGGCGGGGAGAGGAGCCTGCTGAGTCCCTGTCCCAGGGCTACGTGATCGGCCGAAGTGCAGACATCTTTTATGTGAGAGAGAAACAAAAAAGTCACAGTTCTTGGGGTTTCGGCGTCATCATCGTGCTGAGCTGGGAAATCTCCTTTCGGGAGGCTGATGCTGTGGGTGCGAGCGATGCCCGGATCCACGCGGAACAAGCGTGATCCCTCTAGGAAGGGCCGAGGACGCCACAGAACAAATGCAGGCCCGAGATCAGGAGTTTCCGATGAAATAGAGGACATCCCGTTGAACTTGAGCTTCAGATAAACCATGAATTTCTTAAAGTAAAATTTGTGCCCCAATTGCAGGCGACGTTCTTGCACCGGAAGGGCTCTGTGGGGCCTCGCTGAGCTTCAGATGGGAAAGGGCCCCTGAACTGTTATTCGCTGAATCTGGCAACCCCAGCCCGGGGGCCCCACACATGCAGACAGATGGCGCCCCAGCTTTGAGAAAGGATGCGACCTGAAGAAAAACGCGGGGCAGCTGATCCGTGCCTTCCACCTGCGATGCTCCCCCTCCCCCTGCCCGGGGTCCGCTGGGCGAGTGGGTGCGAGCACCCCGCGACCCCCACGCCTTCCCTGGGGGCTCCAGCCCACACCAACCGCAGAGTGGACAATCACACCCCCCCCCCCGTTGCTTCTCCTTTGTGGCCTCTGTACCCCAGTTTTGCCTCCCCGAGATCAGCTGGGACCCAGGGCTCAACCAATCAGAACCCTCCTTCTTCTGACTACAGCCATTGGTTGGAGGCTGCCCTCACGTGACCCCAGTACATCCAATCAGAGTGGGTCTCAGAGTTTTTGCTGCAGAAGGAAGGGGATCTCACCTGGGGGGGTCTCACCTGGGGGGGTCTCACTTGGGGAGGATCTCACCTGGGGGTCTCACCTGGGGGGGTCTCACCTGGGGAGGATCTCACCTGGGGGTCTCACCTGGGGGGATCTCACCTGGGGATCTCACCTGGGGGGGTCTCACTTGGGGAGGATCTCACCTGGGGGGTCTCACCTGGAGGAACCCCTCAGTCCTGAGACCCAGGGGCAGCCCGCCAGGCCCAGGTTCCCCGGGGGACTGGCTGCCAGCCCTGCCCGTGTCAGTGCGTCCCTCGGGCCGGAAGCCGCTGGTTCTGGTGTCTCCCATGCGTGGGACAACCGGCTGTGATGCAGTGCTCGGTGGCCGAACCGAGCTAAGCGCTGGGCACGGGGCTGCCGCACAGTGTTTACCCTCCTCACAGCTCGGAGACGCTCACAGCTGGTAAGCCGGTGAGGGATAAGATAGTAATAATAATAATAATGATGATGATAATAATAATGATAATAATAATACAATAGTAAAGCAGCGAGCGCTTATTGGAGCAGGCGGAGCATCAGGGCCAAGGGTAAGATGTTTGCTCTCCTGTTGGATCCTCACACCAACAGGGAGTGAGGTGCCTTCAGGTCCCGCTTCACAGATGAGGAGACCTTGTGGCGACATGGAGAGGCCCGAGGTGACGCTGGGGCGCGCCCTGGGCAGGCTGTTCCCAAGCCTGCACCCTCCACCGTGAGCGAGCCGGGTCCTGTTTTGGGCACCAGCGTAGCTCAAGCAACAGCAGCTGCAGATGCTGCTCCAGAAGAAAGGCAGGATGAAAGGCAGGTGTTGCCTCTTCCAGGAAGGCTTCCTGGTTCCCACCCTCCTGCCTTCTGCCCCCGCCATGGCCCCTGCCCCTGTTCTCCCCGGAGGATGTAACTTGTGGACACCTGAGTCCTCCAGTGACTCCCCAGTCCCTTTGTCCTTGGCTGCTGGGAGGCTCAGGGGCACATTTCAGGCTTCCAATCTCACCTTCCTCTGGTCGCATCTCCATGCCTCAGCCCCACTTGCTTCTTCCCCCCATTCCCTCCTCTTTTCCTTTTATCCTACTGGGCAGCGTGCACGCATTGCAGGAACCACCCCCAAATCCTTTCACGGGGAGTGAGACGAAGCACAAAATAAGTAAACAGAAATGATAACACTCTACCCATGTCTATGAACCCAATTGCATCGCTAATAGGAGCCGTACATTTCCCGGAGGCACTGAGACGGTGTGCCTGCCCCTCCCCGAATGTGAGATGCTGTTGGTGTTTAAAGGAAATGAAGACTAAATCCCCCTGGCGTCTCCCTGCCCTCCCAGCCACTCCTGCTGAGCTTTCTCTTAAGTAACCGCAGGAGCCCACCGGGAAACGGGAAATGAGGTGCTCATCGCCTGCCGCCTCCCAGCTCATTGCAGAGCCAGGAGAGGCGAGGCAGCCAGGCCTCACGCCACACCCAGCCTCTTCAGCTCACATTCAAGGCCCTAAGTGGTCTCAGGTGTGTGGGTCCCTTTCCGATGGCGGCCGTAATGAACTGCCACCCACTCAGTGGCTTAACACAGGCCCGATGTATCATAGGGAGGCTCCGAAGGGCAGACCTGCAGGGCGGGGCTCCCTGAGCTCAGGGAGGTGGGGGCAGTGGGGGGGTGTTCTTGTCTGAGGCTCCAGGGGAGGGTCCCTCTCCGGCCTTGTCCAGCTTCTAGGAAAGGCCTCGTTCCGTGGCTCACGTGGCCCCTCCTCCATCTTCCAAGAGGGTCCCTGGCCCTGTCCTCACACCCGCTTCCTCCGACCTTGACCCTTTTACAGGGATCGCAGTGACCAGGGCGGGTTCACCTGGACGGGGCGGGTAACCTCCCCTCCAGGCCCGAGTCACACCTGCAGAGCCTCTTTGCCGTGTGGGGAGCACGCTCACCGGTTCTGGAGACTGGGGCGTGGACATATTCAGGGGACATGATTCCACGACAGCCTGTGCTCCCCGCAAGCAGACCCCAAGGGAGGGCCTCGGGGACACAGGCAGCAGGTCCTCCCGCAGCGTCATTTCCTGCCACGTCATTGGTAGGTGAGAGGCAGTCAGTGTGGGGAGGACGGTTCCTTATGCAGAACCTGCAGCCGACCCTGGGAGGACGCACCCCCGTTTGTTTGGGGGCGACTGGAAACAGCGCGGGGATGTCCCACACATAATAAGTATCTGTGGCCAACCTGGAAGACTTGGTGTCACGTTGTAGGTCCCTTTCCAGGTCACACGCCCCTCTGGCAACGGGTCTCACTTCATCCCCCAGCATCTACCCTGGCCAGGCCTCACGCTCACAGCGCTGCCCCAGAGCGAGGCCGCGCAGGGGGCGGAACCCACACACGAACACTTTAAAAAGGTCCGAAGTTTCGGCCTCGGGAGTGTTCCTGGCGCTTCGGAAACAAGCCTCTCTGAAAAGCCAGGTTTAAAAATTTATAACATTCGTATAAAAGTGATTGTTTTGCAAATTTCAGAAAGGATTGAAAATCACACACGCACACACACACACACATACTTCCACAAGCCCAAGATGATGACTGTAAGAAATTCCCATCATTCTGTGCAATTTCTTGCCTACAAAGATAGAGAGGACACAGTTTTTAAAAAGTAAAATTGGGATCATATCACACAGGTCTCTTCCACTTAATAATTTGGAAAATGTTTGCATGTTATTGACTAGGCTAGGTACATATATATTTTTAAATATATTTTTATTGACTGCAGAGAGAGGAAAGGAGAGGGAGGGAGGTAGAAACAGCAATGATGAGAAAGAATCACTGATCGGCTGCCTCCTGCACGCCCCACACCAGGGATGGAGCTCGAAACCTGGGCGTGTGCCCTGACCGGGAATCGAACCCTGACCTCCTGGTTCCTGGGTTGAGGCTCAATCACTGAGCCACGCCGGCCGGGCCAGGCTGTTCCATTTCTGTTGGAGAAAGTGTGTAACAAAGCTGAGCGGGTCTGGCTTGTTCGTCTCCAGAAGCTTCATTTCCGACGGGACCAGTTAACCTGCCGCGTCGCCGGGGCTGGTAAGAGGCACCAGCCAGGGGCACCGCCCATTCGACTAGATGAGCGAGAAATGGCCGCCATCGTCCCGACGCGTCACAGCCGCGGGCAGGAGACGCTCACCCGCTCGGCGATGGGGCCCAGCGTTCCTTCGGCTTCGCAACACGGCCCATGTCTCCTAACAAGAGAAAACGCCTGTTTAGTCAAAGAGAAGGAGAGGCCTCAAGAAATTTAAAACAAATATAAACTTTCATGTTTCATAAGCTACAATTTTAAAGACAACTTATGCGAAAAGATTAAAGAATAACTTTATGAAATAGTTGTCAGTGTTAAGTCGTGCCCTCAGTGACTAACCAACGAATGGATTACAAACAACTAGTTATGAGGTTTTACATTGGTTTAAGAGGGGAGTAACTGGCCCCAGTTACACTGGCTGAGCTGCGGCTTTTTAGATGACTAAGGCGAATTAAACTTTTTAACCTGAGCATTTAGGTGAGCTGGAAACCCGTCTGGGGTTTCTAGGGCAACTCCCTCCGTCGTAAGCTCCCTGGTCTTAGTCGTTCTATTAAAGATAACTTAAGTGAGATTAAGACCTTATTTGGTTTATTTACCTTTGGCAATGAAGACCGTTTAAGGGCCACACACATCCTTGGCCTTGGCGAGGGCGACCCCATTTAGTCAATGTCTTTAAAAGCGTGGGCTTTATGGCTTCCGGCACGGGGCGAGGAGCGCATTAAGGCACCAAAATTCTCATAAAAAATCCAAAGTGGCGCTAGTGAGAAAACGCTCGACAAGATGAGAACGGATCACATCCTTCCCCCGAAACTCAGGCGTTCGTTTAAAACCAGCGTTTAAGCGAGCTTTGGTCCGGACACCCCCTGGACTCTTAACCAGCGTTTAGGTCTACGGAGAGTGGCTCTAGGATGACGCGTTTAGTTTTATACCGTTTTTAAAGGAAGTCGTACGATGTTTAGCGTGATCCTTTTATGAGCGTCGTTAAGTGAGTTCTCTCCCTGTTTACAACTATTTAGGAAGGCCTTTTTAAGCACGAAAAGCATGAAACTGTTAGCTCACACACACAGGAAAATTTCTTTCAAAAGTTTATTTAGTATCAAGCAAGAGGAAAGTTTGCTTAACACTACAGAACATTTCAAGACTGGAGTTACAAAAAGAATACCACATTATTTGCACTTGTAATTGGCTCCCCTTTTTACGTGAGGGAAAAAAAAAAACCTGGCATATGGCTGAAAGATAAAATAACTGAACTCTATGGAAACCTTTAAAATGAAAGGTGAGGCGTATGTTAAAGGATGGATTAACATGTTTAGTAAACCTATTTTTTTGTTTAACACTAGTTAATCAAAGTTGTGTGTGTTTTTTTCCTTTTGATGACCTATTTTTTTTTTTTTTTCATATACAGGCTGGAAATAACAAAATTTTACATGTCTTTTTTATTTTTTTCTCTTTCTTCCCAGGTTGATGTTTCCACAAAGTAGTTTTAAGTTCCATCCATTCAGATTTTTAGGCATTTTGATTTATTTAAAAAGGGGATTGTTCATAGAAAAAAATTACTTTGAACAGTTTACAGGACGGGTGGAGATGGGCTATTTCACAACATCAGAAAGTCAGTACAATCAGTAGCGGCCGTATGGCTGGTCTCGGTAGACGCCCTTCGCTGTCCGCGCCGAGGGAGCCTTGGGTCTTGAGTTGGTCCACTCCTCTGGCCCTGAAACCAGTACAGACGGATCACAATTAGACCACCGCCCGGGTCCCGTGGGCCTCGTTCTGCAGGATCTAACTCGGCCCTGAACCTACCGCGATGTCATATTGAAGATACACAGCCCCGAGGCACCCAGAGAAACACCCACGGGAATTCACCGAGAAAAAAATGACAAACAACGCAAGACAGTCATCTCGTCGCCAAAACCCGTCAGCACGGGAAGAGATGCAATTTTTGTATCTTACGTGGCAACCGACTTCGCAGGAACCTTCCTCTGGGGAAAGGGTGGCTTAGACTTTTTTCTAACAAAGAAAACACAGGAAAAAAATCTGTGAAGTTGGCTCGGCCGGCGCGGCTCAGTGGTTGAGTGTCCGCCTCTGAACCAGGAGGTCACGGTTCGATTCCCAGTCAGGGCACATGCTCAGGTTGGGGGCTCGATCCCCAGTAGGGGGCATGCAGGAGGCAGCCAATCAATGGTTCTCTAATCACTGATGCTTCTCTCTCTCTTCTTCTCTCTGAAATCAATAAAAACATATTTTAAAAAAACAAAAATTAAAAAAAAGAAGAGACATGTGGAGGCAGAAGGAACAGCTGGAGGGGGACGCGGGGAGGGCGGGCGAGGGTGGAGAAACGCCGCATTGCCCTTCGGGGTCTCTCAGAGGAGGGCCGAGTGAGAGCCGTGCTGGGTGCAAGTCTCACCTCGGTCACACTTCGTGACTGTGAGGGAAGTCAGTGGCATAACGCCACGTGTCACGCATGTGACACTAATCCATTAGTGGCAAGGGCATCCGTCGTCTTTCCGCCGCAGGACCTCCGAGACCCGGGTCTTCGGCGGCAAGCCGTGACCCCTGCACCCCAGCCATCCCACGCCCCCGGGCCCGAGGCCAACTTAAAAAGCTGCCAAGGAAAAGGCCGGACACGAACAAGCAACCAGCGTCACTCCCGCCCGCTAACTCGCATCCACCCAACCGCACCATGTTCAACAGACCAACGTGCTTCTCTCGAGCGGCTGCTCCGAGTCATCAAAACAAAAAAGTGAAAACCCAGGTGGAGCCATCGCGCTGGGGAGGCGATGGGAGGAAGGCACTTCCACAGGAAACGCCTGGGAACGGCCTCGCAGGGGCGTCCACAGACGCCAGCACATCCACCACCCAGAGCCCGAGGCACACCCGGGGCGGGCGCAGCCCTGACTGCAGCCTCGGTCCGAGCCCCGAGCCCGGCGACGAAGGAGCTCCCGCCCATCATGACGCGGCCACCGCCAATTCTTTCAATGAAACCGGTGGCCCTTCGGCCCGCGGAGGCTGGGGCCTGGCTTCCCCCGGAGCCGGCGAGCGCGCCACCTCCGCCCCGGCTCGGGGGTCCTGTCCCCCCTACAGAGTGGCTCCTCTGTGAGGTGCTCAGAGGCCTGGGGCTGGGGGTGAACTGAACTATCAGGATGGGTGGGAGGGTCACTCCAGGGCTGTCCTCCCAAACGGTCTCATGTCCCTTTCCCGTCAAGAACAGAGACACTCCCGGAAGCCCATCTGAACAGGGGCCGGGCGGCCAGCTGGGCCATGAGGGAGGAAACCAACCCAGGGCATCACCCAGACAGAAACCCCCCCGCCCCCCGCCCCAGTGCGATCCGCCTTCCCATCATCCTCCGTGAGGCTCCCTCCTGGCTGGATTTTACATCTCCCAGGATGTGCACACAGACAGGCAGGGGCGGGCGGCCGCGCCCCGTCCTCCTGTCGGAATCCCCCTCAGGCCTCTGTCCCTGGTTCCCGCGGCCTCGCACTCACCATAGGAATCGTACGTCTCGTCACTGAGCCCGTGGCCGTAGTCGTAGTAATCAGCGCCGCTGCAGGGAGGAGACAGAACGGGAGAGGTGAGCGCGGGAGGGCCCTGTGGGTGGACATCGCCCCGGGAAGCAGTCCACAGGTAGAGTCGGCCTAAAGGACAGGCTGGCCGACAGAGAGCCCCTAACACAGGCCTCGGGCTTCAGGGTGACCAAGGCCCCCGACCTGAAGACAGAACAAATGTGCCGACACCTTCGCCACCGCAGGAAGGCCTCGTGCAGACGGAAGCAAGGACTTCCCTTCTTCCCCCGTGTGCCTCGCCCGCCCGCCCGCAGGCTCAGCTGTGTGAGCTCAGGGACGTCCTCTATCCCCGGCACCACAACCGGCCAGTTCCTCTGAGAAACGCAGCACGTTGCCCGGCCGGCGTGGCCCAGTGGTTGTGCGTCGACCCAGGAACCAAGAGGTCGCTGGTTCGATTCCCGGCGGGGCACATGCCCAGGCCGCAGGAGGCAGCGGATGGGTGATTCTCTCTCATCACTGACGTTTCTATCCTCTCTTCCTCTCCCTTCCTCTCTAAAAATCAATTAAAAGAAAACATTAAAAAACAAAGAAACTCAGCACCAAATTAAGAGAACCTGAGCCCTCTTTTCAAAGGCCAGAAGCCACGTCCTGATGGCCCGAGACAGACACAACCCTGGCTTCCTGGGAATTTATCTTCGTGGCACAAATAGGATGAGAGCGGCCTCTTCGTCAAACTCAAAATGCCGCCCTTCCCCGGGACAGGCCGCACGCTCGCCTGGGAGCTGTGAGCGGCGCTTTCTCAGTCCCCTTCACACACAAGGAGCCAGCAGAAAGGGCACCGGCACGGGGGTGCGGACTGCTCCCCCTGGGCGGGAGGGCAGGGGCGTCATGTGGCCCAGCGGTTTGCTAATAAGACAATCTCCGTCCTGACAAAGGGAAAGCTCTGAACTGACGTTTCCATCATTTCACCGGCTTCTCATTACTCGCTGCGAGACTGTCATCACGCCACGCGCTGGGAGCAGCTGCGCCCCTCACGCCTGTCAGCCCCTCGGACGGCTTCCCCCGCTTTCATCCCGGGGACCTCAGGGCCTGGTAACCAAGGACGTGTCCCATTTCCCAAGGGCACGCTGAAGGCCCAGCCGTGGCAAAGGGGAAACGCCACCATCTCCTCATGCAGGTTCGCGGCGTTTAATACTGACACTGGGCAAGAAAACGCAGCAGTCCGCACGCAGCCCACTCCATCGCGAGGTCGAGGGCGCCCCCCCCCACCCCCACCCCTATAGGTCAAGAGCGGGCTTCTTGCCACATGAGGCCACGCCTCCTGCGTCTCCTGTCCTTCTCCGCGTCCCCCCTCCCGCCCCATGTCCGGGGTCCGGAAGTCTACAAGCTCAGCATAATTCCTGGCTCTCCCAGGGGTCCCGGGTCCCCCATCAGAGTCAGGAAATACGCCCAGAACTGGGAGGAAACCAGGGCTACAGAGCAGACGGTGTCCCCGGGACTGTCCACGTCTCCCTCCCTGGGCCTCCTCCCTCCCTCCACAGGGTTCAAAACCAGGCCAAGGCCCCGCGTGCCCAATTGCCCGTCTCTGTGAACGGGGCCAGGAAGGACTCCTGGCTTGTATCCATGCGCCCACCCCCCTCCCCACCACGACCTCTTTAAGCCTCTGCAGTTTCTACTTCACAGTCCCTGGCGCTATCTCCGCAGGCTCCCGAAAGGCTGGGGGTCACACGGGCAAGTGCGGGCCAGAGCCTGTGCCAGACAGCCTGCCGCCCCACGCCTGCTGTCCCCCCTTTCCCTCCCCCCCATCCCCCGTCCCCTGTAGCCAAGGAGGCTGCAGTGCACCCTCAACCAGCAAGCCCAGTGCCCGTCGCTAACGCGCTGGGCCCCTCCCTGTCCCGATGTGCACGACAACTTGTGTTTTTCTTCCACGTTTCCATTTTTTTCTTCTTTGTAGAGAGTCTCTCTCCTCCCGGTCACTCTCTCTGCTGCCCCAGCTGGGATGCCGTCCGCCTGGGCCCCTCAGTGTTCCTGCCGCACCGGCGGCTCCGGGCCCGTGGAGCCGCCCCCGCCTCACCCGCGGGTGAACTCCCAACCCCTCGCCGGCTGGCCTGCTGGATGCCACCTTCTCACCCACCAGGGATGCACCTCCTTGCTCCACGGCCGCCTCCCCTCCTGGCAGCTGTGTCCTCTCCAGGGGTGGTTCTCCAGTCTGCTCCCAGATTCTTCCCACATTTTGGCCGTGTGCTCCTTGTAGCATTTGGGGACGAAAGCCCTGTTTCGAGTCGCTTCTTCTGGGGCCGGGGACAGGGAGAGTGTATACCGGTGGGCGGGTGGGCAAGTAACGTGTCCTGTGTTTGGGCCCCGGGCCCCCGCGGGTGAGACTGTGTGAGGTGTGGCTTTGCCCGTTGCCGCTCTAACCGGGTCAGACACCGCTGAGCGCTAGTGGGTCCGAGGCTGCGGGAAGAGCAGCCCAGCCTCCGCGGCCCCGGGTTCACAGCCGTCGGTCAGGGGCTGTCCCGCCCCCTCTCCTGGACGGTACAGAACCCCTCTCCCCAGCGGGGTTTTTCTCCGTTTTGTTTTTTGTGGATCTGCTTTCATTTGCTTCCTCTCCCTCAGGAATCTTTCATAACCTTCTTCTGACACTTCATGGAATTTTTAAAAATATGTTTTTATTGATTTGAGAGAGAGGAAGGGAGAGGGAGAAAGAGATAGAAACGGCCATGAGAGAGGAACATCATTGATCACTGCCTCCTGCCCGCCCCACACCGGGGATGGAGCCCGCCACCCGGGCATGTGCCCTGACCGGGAATTGAACTAGCAACCTCTATGGCTCCCGGGTCGACGCTCAACCACTGAGCCACCCGGTGGGGCCCGGAGGGGCGGGTGAGGCAGATGTACGTCCCATCCTCTTGACCCATCTCCCTTTCCCACAATGCGTCACCTCCAGTCCCCATACTGTTTCCTCTTCCAGGAAAGACAGGAGGTCAGAAGATGGAACCACGTCTACCCCAGACCTGCCCATCCTGGGGTCAGTCCGACAGCAGCGTTCGTTCCAAAACGAAGCGGGAAAGGAGGCCACTGTGCCCCCTGGGGCGGGAAACGCGGCCCGTCTCCACGCAGAGCCTGCGGTCCTCACGCTCCGCTGCGATGCCGGGACAGCTCTTTGGGGCGGGAGGGGCGGTGCGTCCTCCCGAAGTTAAACCAGCCGTTTCTGGGCCGGGTGAATTTCTCATAAAAACACTGACATTTTTCCTGATGATTCTGGCCCATTCCTTCCAGGAAAATCTTATCTGTAATCATTATGATAAAAATGAATATTCGAGCAAAAGGTTAATAAATTCTTACTATATGACAGGAGAAATGGAGGGCCATAACCCAGATAACAGCTCCAGCCCGGCTTTCGACTCGGGGCCTTTAATCCTCATAGGGCCGTTAATTTTTATAGATAAAGCGGAGTGAGTGAGAAGCGCCATTTAAAACGCCACGCGGGGCCACTCCTGGGTCCCATTAGCACGGACGGCGGGAGGACGGGGCTCCTGCGGGGGCTGGCTGACACTCCCAGCGGCCGTCCACGCATCTCACTCGCCCGGTGGTTCTTCCGTGACATGTAGTAACACGTCCCCAGGCGACACGGAAGAGGACGTTGCAGACTCGGGCGGGTGGGACCCCGGCCAGTGCTGTGCGGCCCAGGTCCAGCCGCAGCCGGGCTGTTCCCTCGCACCGACCGGGGGCCGCTCCCCCAGCTGAGCTAAGACGTTCGTCTTTTTCGGGCGCAGACATGGCACCTGCCGTGGGGGGAACCGCTGGGACTTCGGCATAGCCACGGCAGAGCTGGCACTGCGCCCGCAGGCGTGTGGCTGCTGGTTTGGTCAGGCAGATGCATTGTTCAATGGCCTTGACCGAGGTGTAAAAATGATTCGTGTTACTAAATCTCAGCTCTGGAGCAACACCTTTCAGCTCTCCTGGGCGACGAAGTGCGGCGGCCCTCGGGCCGTTCCGGAGCGGGGCCGGGAGGCCGGGCGGTGCCCAGCCCTGCGAGGCGGACGGGCAGCGCTGCCCCCGACACCGGGCATCGTTCCAGGAGAGGAGGGTGGCCGCGAACCCTGGCTCTTCAGGCTTAGCTCCTGGGCCGGCGGTTTCGCAACAAGGAAGGACGTGAGCCCGTCGCTGGAGGAAAACAGCAGACCACGTGTTTCCAGCCACAAAACCCACGCTTCAAAGCAGGAACCAGAAACCGTGAGCACCGGCGTTTGCCACAGGAAACTGGCGAGTCGACACTGGATGGGCTCTCTGCTGAGCCTGGCGGTGATGATATAAAATCCGACTTTTTCATGACATAACGAGACGCAGCACAGCGTGGAAAAGGATGCCGGGCTCGGCGAACCAGTTTTCTCCAAGGACCCGTAGTGATGTGACGGACTCCAGCATGGCGGGGGAGGCAGGCCAAGGTCCCTGAGCTCTCAGAGTCCGGCCAGTCTGCGGACAGGGCTTCCCGTCCACAGCTCACCTTGAGGCCCTGCCGCCTCCGCCTTTGGGTGCAGCATCAAAGAACAGCCAGCCTCCTGGGACGGCGAGTGAACACCCTTCCCTTTTCCAACTGAGCACGTATCTGTCATCCAACTTCTTCACCCAACACGACAGGCCCTGCCGGACGGAGCACAGAAGCTGATGGGAGAACCCAGCTAGCTTCTCTTCAGCCAGACAAGAAGGAGATTTGCAAAAATATAAGAGAGATGTATGTAATTTTATTATTTTTATGGAAATAGTGATTTTCCCCGAAAGTAAATTCTGTTAACATGCAATGGGTTGATTATTGTTATATATTTAATGATGAATAAATATCTTTAAACATTCCTGTTTGAAGTCTGAATATGGGACATGGTAACAGATAGCAACCATATCCACGGAAGGACCCTGTGGCCCTCGCTAATTTGGGGGGGGGTGAAAGGGTAATATGTGATCTGGTCACAAAGAGGAAGCAGCCAATCAAAAGACAGTGACTTCTCTGCATGGCCAGTTGCCCTGACTCCCAAGTGTAGCT